CCTAAAGATTCTGGAATTTTAGAGTTTCAAGCCCCACCCCCTCCATTAGAAGCACGATCTGCGCGTGTCATGGGGAGGGGGTGAGCTATATGAGCATATATATATATATATTACATGACATGGTAAAGCCGACGACGTGTCCCGTCCTGCCGAATGCCGAGGCCATGGTTCACACCCGAATTTGCGGGAAAAAAACCCGGCATCTTCACCAAAGCCAAAGGTGGCAAGTCAAGTACTGGACAAGGCTTCATGTGCATCCGATTGTCTACAGACGACTGTACCATGACAGCTACCCAGCTAGCTATCGGAATAAACGCCCAGGCGACGCCTTTCCCCGCCCTGGCTGAGTCCACGGCCTCGACTCCGAAAACTAAACCCAGCTCCTGGGAGAGCGCAGTTTGGAAAACCTCTTGCAAGGAAGATGTGTGCCACCAAAGCATTCGTATGGAAGTGGGCGAACGGCAACGTGATCTCGCATCCTTGTTTTTGGAGGCCGAGTAAACCGACACTAGCCGGGAATACAAGTCGAAGATACTGCTTCAATAGTTAGGGCCTGCAGCTGGCCAAAAACACGAGGGCTGGACCTGCACAGTCACAGAGGAGTTATTGCAATTGTGATTGCAGTAAAGATCAGCAAACCAGGCACTAAAAACCGGGGTCCTGATACCTGATACCCAAAAGATCCTAGCGCGACCACCAAGCGCAACTGTTTGCGGGACCAAGCAGGTGTGAGTGGCATCTGGCAGAACACAAGAACTTCCGGCACCTTTTTGTCTTCCGTCCGTCCGTCTACTGCTTTTGCCTCGACTGGCGTTCCTGCTCCTCCTGCGCCTCAAAGCGGGCCAGGACCTCTTCGCCAGAGCCCACCCACCTCCGTGTTTCACGCCAAACATCAAAGGCGACCTCGAGCTTCACGTTGGGCAGAAGCCGCTTGAATTGACAGCAGCAGGCTAAGCAGGAAATGCACAGCGTGTGAGTGGCATAGAGGCGAACAGAGCCTGTCACATCTGGCATCACATCATCTGCATACTTCTTCGGTTTGTCTTTGCTGTCGTTGCTCGGATCGCCAGCCTGGGCACAGCGGACCTGCCCCATTCTTTGATGCATGCCAGCGGAAGACCTTGCCGAGAATGAGCTTTTGACAAAGGTTGGGCTCGCCGAGAAAGGAGTAGGACCAATGCAGACGAGAACAAGGGCGAAGAGAAGTGCTCGGGATGAACCTCGCACGCCATGCTTCGCCCCTTTCGCCATCTTCCCGCCACACATCATCGGTATGTTCTATCACTATCTGGAGCGGACTGCCTTGATGAATGAAGATTCGATACGTGCAATTCCCACAGTCGGCTGGTGGTAAACTGGATGCCCAAAGCAGCAAGTTGTGGCTGGGAACTACCCTTGAGCCAGAAGGGCTTATATAGGGTTGCGGGCTCTCGTCTTGACACCGCTGCTGCTGCTTCTTGTTCGCCGGGCGACATTTTGAGGACTTTCAGCAGACGGTGGTAAGTCGGGCATATTCTGAGACTGCAGCCTCAAAGATTTCTTACAAGCTCTCGGTGTAATCTACGCCACTCAAGACAGCCCACACACATCCTGCACTAACAACGGCATCCGAGAGCTGGCAAAGCTGCAAGTCATGGGTCCTCCGCGACACGCCGCGCCAGGCTCGTGGCTGCCTGTGAATCACGTTCATTTCCTTCACTTCGGGGTTCGATCAAAACGTCAACACGTAAACCCTGAACTCCCTAGACCCTAAGGCCCTAAGGTAGCAGTTCCCTGGAAGGAGAGAATAGCAATGTGGTTCCGAGGAACTTACTCTAGAACCTTGCTACTCAAGACTGCACAATGCCTGACAGTACCCTGACGCAGATATACGCAGATTGAGAGCCAGCAATGAAGCGCGTCCGGTGGAAGATTGCGCAGTCAGGCTAAGGAAAGATTGGCCACACGGTTGCCATGGTGGTGGCAAATTTAGCGTGGTGTACATGCAGCAAGCAAGACAGCATGCTGCTGACGAGCTATTCAATAATTCTACGAACAGACCGAGCAGAACTGGCTGCATCTGAAAATCACCAACCCAAACCTCAGCTGTTAGAACAACTCCTTAAAGTAACCCTTGTGGTAACCTCGTCTGGAACTGTTCAGGGCCCCAGGCGAGTCTTCGCGGCTGCGTGACCAGGATGTTGCATGGAGTCTGGTTCTTGGCTGCCTCCCAGGTCCCACAGGGTCTGAAAAAGCGGTTCTGTGAGTAGGTCAAACGTAGTGGAGCGAGTCTCAATTTCGCGTCCTGGGTTGAAGAACACTCGCATAGTAAAGTGCCAGGAGCAATGGCGATACCGATTGGTTTAGGAACTCACCGAAGGAAACGAAACTGTCGTTAGACTTTCAGCGTCAGGAAGAAGGTGCTAGCTGCTAGCTGCTAGCGCAGGGTTCTCGCAAGCGTTTGGAAAAGGCACTCCCTGAGAACACAAAGGATCTGGAAGCTGAGGTTTGGGAGAAAACACGATGCGTGACGGCAACCCTGAACAGGCATACTGCCGCAAGGAGCTCAGCGCGATCCCGAACACTGGCCATAAAACACTTATTGATGTGAAGGCCCCGGAACACTCAAATTAGGCACACAATCAACCCTGAACCCGTCCCGACAAGCGCGAGGTTTTTGACATACACTTCGTTGTTTTCGGCGGTTTCGCAGTGATTCGGCTCTGTCATCTGCGCTTTTCCTGCGATGTCATGTTGAGCCATGCTGGACATCTTCTGATTCAGGTCCGATTCGCCGTCGGTTTAATTTGGCTTCGAACCTCCATTGACTGCTTGCGATTTTGCTGTGTGCCGTCCTGGCTTGGGCTGCGACTGGGGCGTCATTCATTCATGATTCTGCTCTGGCTCAGCCGACTTTAGCTGTGATGCTGGCACGCTCGGGTTTTGACGGCAATTCCTCCGCAACGCGGCTGTGGTAGGCCGAATCAAGCTCGCGTTCAGATCGCAGGCGACTCAGAGTTCAATCTTGCGAACCCCTGCAAAGAAACGGTACATCACAGAACGACATCAGAAGCCAGATCGCAGATCGCAGTGCTCTAGAACTCTTCTTGCTCGCAATCGCCCCAGCGTCAGCCCTGCTTTCAAGAGCCAGCATGGGCCGGGCCTCCTGAATGATGAACTGCGGCACCTCCAAGAAGGCGAATGCTTCGTCGGGGCTTTCTGAGTCCGACTTTCGGGCTCTGCTCTTTTTAAGGAGGCGGAGTTTGAATTTTGTTTTCAGGGGGGCTGCTTTTCAAAGCCTCTTCCGGCAAAGTTCTGTCAGCAGGACGACTCGCAAAGCTCTTTCAGAGCCTGCGTGGACTTTCCACAGCCAGTGCCGCCCACGATGATGGAGACACGATTCCTCATCAGGACACCCAGAAGCACGAACAATGGCCTCACGATGCCCGAGCTAGCACACTATGCTGCAGCTGCTGCGAACTAAGTCGCGAACTTTTATTGCAGCCTAATCAACCACGTGCCCTGCAATGAGGATGAAGTTGCCCACAACAGTACAATAGTAGCTTTTACATAGCGCAGTATCGTGTATCATGTGCAGGTGATTTCTCGCATAGTTACAGTTTATTACGTGAAAGCTCCGAACTGATCCTTACAAACTTCAAAATCAAAGCGAAGTCCAGCTCCACAAGCCTGAATGACGGTTTCAGGTTTCGACGTTTGCGGCACGTAACAGCACATTCCTACGTGAAGCAAGGGAGAAGCATTGCTTGTCTTCTAGTAACAAGAAGCTCCTAGACAAACGGAGCCCTAAATTCGAAATCCTAAGCCCTAAATCCTAAACCGACCTGAACAGTCTTAGGCACCGGCTTGGCGATCATCTCCCTCGAGTTGTTCAGGGATCGACGTGGGCTTGGGGCTTATTGTTGCTAACATGATTATCACTACACTGTTCATGATCACCTTAGACTTTAAACTTTCAACGTATTGAACTGTGCTTATTATGCAGCTGCGGGATGGCTCGAATCAATTGGGACATGAAGTTGAGGTTTTGTTGACACGACTGGGCTCGACGAGAGTCCGATTGACTCCAAAGTGTGCCCGCAGGGTTTGGTCCCATTTTCAATTTTGGGGGGGTGGCTGGTACGAGGTTCAGGTGTCTGGCTTCTGGCAGCCAAGGTGCTGAATCTCATCGCGCATGTCGCAAATCGGAAGCTCCTCTCAGGTTGGATGTGAGGTTCGTGCATTTGCTGGAAGCTGTCGTGGCCATTCAGCACCCCGTTTGGTGTAGGCGATGTTCAGTGGATGCCGAGGCTGATGATAATGATGATGATGATGATGATGAGCATAAAGCTGCATGTGGTCCTGTAGTTTTTGAACAGCGGCCATCAAAATTGTCGTTATTACGCTCATCACCCCACCCCACCCACTCACCCACGGCCTGAACCACTGCCACCATCGGCAGTCGACACTGCCCGCCGTCACCATCACCAGCAGGACACCACAGCCATCGACACACCTGTGACCGACACAATGCCCAACCCCACCCAAGCATCATCATCCTCAGGGCTATCATCAGCACCGCGCTTGCCTGAACCTGGCTCAACGGCACTGTACCACTGTGGGCGAGTGATTGGAACTGGTCAAACAGCCAGCCGGTCATGCTGGAGATGATGCATAAGAAGTCAGTTAAGAAAACTACACACGACATAGAGGAGGTTTGTCTCTACTAGCAGTCCGAGCAAACCGTTATGCCTGCGAAGCGACGCCTAATCACTCCGAAACACAGACCCCTGAATGACTGTTCCCATCATTAGCCCGAAAGCCCTGGCCCTAGCCATCTCTCCTGACAGTTTCTCTTCCCTCAAAATTAAAACTTGTCTATAAAAATCTACAAACATAGGTACACACGCACATTGGTGCGGACGTCTCCTCAGAACTGGGCCTGCTTGGCGTCGCACACTGCGCCGGTGGGGGAGTTGGCATCTGCAAATGCAATGCAAGCTCGGACCCCGAAGCGGAAACGAACCACAGCACGTCCAAAGGCCTTCGGCAAAATCCTAGTTACATGTCTGAGCTCACCACATCACGCCCGATCAGTAAATATGGTAAGCCTCTGCCCCTTGAGAAACCTTGTCCTAATCCTCCCAGCTGGGCTAACAACCAGCGAAGCCGGAATACTTCCATCCCCACGGGCCGGCCTTGCGGACGCCTTGCATGGCCTCAAGGCCCATGAGACGTTCAACCTGGAGCTCAGGCGAATAGCTTAGATAATTCCGCTTATAGTAACAGGTACTAGAAAGGATGGGAGTGGGTAGAATAGGTATGCAGGCGCTGTAGTGGGGTGGTGTTGAGATGTGGAACCGACTCAGGTCATAGCATGTTCGTGAACGAGTACATGGCCATGCACGACTACAGCAAATGTCTAAACATCTATGACTCGATGACTACTTTCTATGCATCTGGAAAGCACCAGACACAAAGACACTTCCATCGGCAAAATATTCGCATGCCCACCAACCAGGGCACACCTCGTTTGCACACGTGCAATGATGCATATGTGCAAAGCAGATCTCCCAAACTGCAGGCACCACGATGTCGATCGAATGCATGTACAGTTACGATGTTGTCAGCCATGCGCTCCCGATACACGGGTGATAAAAAGCACAGACTACGACATTGTAAAGCTCTGGCTCGGAATGTCACATGCTGCTTGATTTCCTGCTGTCTGTGGCCAACTTCAGCATTCCAGGATTCCCTCCCTGAGCCCGTGATCCTGATCGTCATCATCTTCCTCGATGGGCTCCTGGTGTGCAGATCGACCGATGGGCCGATGGCTTTGGGGGTGGTCAGGGCTTGAGGTTTTTTCGCTGCCCGACGTAGCAGAAGCCTTGCTGTCATCGCCTGCCAGTAGGGCCCCGCTAGGATTAGGGATACCAGAGCTTGAATCTTTCAGTTGCCCCCGCTCGGATCCTGATCGTCATCGTCTGAACCAGCCGGCTCCTAGCAGCAGATTCGCGCAGAGATGGCGCAATACCCACATATCGAAAGAACGACCACGCTATGCCGATCGCTGTTTGTAGATATCTCTTATGATGCTTCAAAATAAGCCTCTACGCCGATCACATGTGAAAGTTGCAGCTATGGAAAGTTTTGTGTACTATACTACTACTGTTACTAAGCCAATACTAAGTGTTTACCTCTAAACCCTTCAGTCCCCCAAAGTCCCTGCGCCAAGTCGCCGCAGTTTCTCTGCCGATCTGCCGGGCCCCGGGATTATCCGACACGGATCT